CAAGCGCAAGGACCCGAGTTTGATCCCCGGTACCAAAAAAAAAAAAAAAATAGTTTTCCTGTAAATCACACCATTGGTGAAAACTGATTAAGACATGTGCAAAAGGCTCATGAAATATTCCTAGTGGCCTTCCACTAGTTCACAGCCACGAGCCAGAACGAAACATGGTCGCTCCATGAATGATCGTACCTGTCTTTCCCAACTTTGACCACCCTCCTCCATACATTACATAAAGAACCGGCGGAATGTAGGCAGGAACTTGGAGATCTGATGTGTTCTTGGGTTACAGTGAAAAGAAACAAAATCACTGCCAAGGTCAGCTTTGATCCATAAATGCCAGGACACCTTGGCAAGCTGAGCTACGCTAACAGGTGACACCAACCAGCAGAGCTTTGGGGAGCAACATGCACCCACGCTGACCCGGCTGGAGCATGTTCAGGTCCTGGCTTCCTCCCTGTCACCACACGGACACTGGTCCCGTGGCGGTCACCCCTTTTGGGGACAGCGTTGAAGCAGTGGAACAGGAAGCACTGTGGGAACGCAGTTCAGAGGAGGGACTTGATGTAAACAAGTTAATTATCTTCTGAATTCCTATTTAGGCCTCTCTGCCCCTGAAATCCTTTGTGGCAGTCTGTCAGAAAGATGGCTCCTGGGACCGACCAGTGCCGGAGTGCAGCAGTACGGCCATGCGGTGACAACTCCCTAACTGCTGCTGCTGCCCTCGCTGCTTGTCCTGCCTGGTCCCCCTCTGTCCCTGCCCCCACCATTCCACTTTTCAGAGCTTGACATCCCAACCTGCTTCTCTCCCTCCGTATCTCAGTGTACTCAGGGGTCAGAATGGAGCCAAGCTACTTAGGAAAGTAAAAGTGTGCTGTGGAAATACTTTTTCCAAACATAAAAGTAGTGCTCCTTGTAAAATACGGAAAACAGGGCAGGGTGTGGCAGTGCACGCCTGTAATCCCAGGACTCAGGAGGCTGAGGCAGGAGGACAGCCATGAGGCCTAGGCCAGACTGAACTAC